CAGAATGAGAGTCCAAACATCTGATAAAAACATCACAATAATCCACACCACTCCAGTCCATTAACGTCTTGTGAAGTGGAAAGCTGCATGTTTTTAAGAAACAAATCCACCATTAAGGCATTTTTATCTTCAAACCTTTGCTTCCGGTTAAAATATGAGTCATCCATAATATTGCTTGTTGTCTCAAAAGTTGTTTTGTCTGAATCAGGAGAGAAATATGCACAGATCAAGCACAGTTTACAAGCAAAAACAGTTCTGAACCAATATATTAGTGGATTTTGATGTGAGAGGACAACAGGGGATCAATAATTTTTTTTGAATGATGGGCTTAAAATGCCTTAATGATGGATTTGCTTCTTACAAACACAGCCTTTTGCTTCACAAGATGTTAAGTGATGGACTGGAGTGGTGTGGATTACTTGTGGATTATTGTGATGTTTTTATCAGCTGTTTGGACTCTCATTCTGACGGCACCCATTCACTGCAGAGGATTCATTGGTGAGCAAGTGATGCAATGCTACATTTCTCCAAATCTGATGAAGAAGCAAACTCATCTACATCTTGGATGGCCTGAGGGTGGGTAAATTTTCAGCAAATTTGAATTTTTGGGCGAATTTTCCCTTTAAATGGCTTTTTTGTTCCATCCCCTTCAGCGGGAATCGTTCATCTAAGACGTTTAAGCCAAAGAAGAATATTCCAGAAGGTTCTCATCAGTATGAGCTGCTCAAACACGCCGAAGCCACGCTGGGCAGTGGGAACCTGCGTATGGCTGTCATGCTTCCTGACGGAGAAGATCTGAATGAATGGGTGGCCGTCAACAGTAAGAACCAAGAGTGACATCATATTTATTAATTATCCCCACACACACCCACAAAGTGAATCATTTGTTCAGTGTGTGTTTTGTTATTGCAGATGGTTTTCTTTTTGCTCTCTATGTGTTCAGTTGCTTTTCTCATTTCCTTCTTAACAACTTTGACCCTTGACCTATTGATGACACCAAACCAGACCCATCCTGTCTTTACCGATCACCCAGTCTGTCCCGAGAGACTCTGTGTCCATTGCAAAATTACTAACACGCCTCCTCCAGAATCCAGCAGGATCCAATAGTCTGAGACTACCAGTGAAAATGCTGCTGTGTTGTGTTCTTTTGCAATTTATAAAATTTGTCAAGAAAAATGAGCATTATCAGCATTGTGATAAGTTTTAAAAATGAATATGATTTTCATGATGTCTTTGTGTCTTGTTTGTTTCTCTAATGACATCAGCACCGGAATTGACTTGAACAAAACCTGATGATCATGTGCTCCAGCATGATTTATCATGAGCATGAGTGTTTCATGGGAAGCAAGAACATCTGGCTGCCTGTACCAATTCTAATCAATAATCAAACATTTTTCCTGCCAAGTAAATAAAGGTTTTTACAGCTGTCAAGCAACTTGACGCTTTAATACAGTAATTAAAATGATACATTGTGTGTAGATTTTTATATATATATATATACCGTATATATATATATAATATATATATATTAGTGCTGTCAAACGATTAATCGCATCCAAAATAAGTTTTTGTTTACATAATATATGTGTGTGTACTGTGTATATTTATTACGTATATATAAATACACATTCATACAGTATATATTTTGAAAATATTTACATGTATTTACATGTATATATTTATATTTAACTTTATTAACTTTTAACTTTTATTTTGGATGGGATTAATCGCGATTAATCGTTTGACAGCACTAATATATACTGTATATGAAGAGTTCATTTGCAAAAACCGATAACTCCCTTTTTTTTTCCATTTTTTTTTCAGAAATCACGTTTTTTTTAATTGCGCATTCCAAGTAATATCAATCAAACTGCAGTTGGGTTGTTTTGATTAAGTAATAATAACTTAAACAGATACAGATGTTTTTTTTTTTTTTTTACATATTAAAAGTTTGTTTTCTAGCAAAAGCAGATAACTCCACATTTCATGTTTTAGAGTTTAAAAAAACACTCGTTTAATCTATGTAATCTCCTCAGATGATAATGTAGATGCCTGACAAACGTTGTTGTTGTTGTGATCATAAACTGTATGGATGTGATTACACGCAATACACAGCGCTTTTCCCTCACCATTGTAACGCGCTGCTTTTGCAAGGTTCCGTGAAAAGTTTCAGCTTTTATTTTCCTTTTTCGCCGTAAAGAAGATATCACAGGTTCATCAAATTCGTTGAAATGATCCATCCTCGATCTCTTTTAGTCAGCTTTGATGAAACTCCTCTCAGATAGCACGTCTTTTCAAAGTGAAAGTAGGGATGGGCGTATCGATCCGAATTAGCGATATATCGGTACGAAAGTATCGATACTCGAACAAAAAATATCGATATTAAGGTGTGTTTTATTTACCAGTGATTTTGTTTATTTAACAAAAAAAATGCGTACAATATGCATTGAATTGGTCTTTAAAAGTATCAGTATCGTATCGAAAACAAAATAAGTGGTATCGCCCATTCCTAAGTGAAAGTAGCCTTGTCACCTGACCTGAATACAGCTCGCTGATTCGCTAAAATTGATTTATCGGCTTCTGTCCAAAAACAACAAGGGCGCTTATTGGCTTCTGCAGTAAACTCGCGATGCCTTGAAAGTGGACAAAACCGGCTTTTTTGACAAAACGTGTTTAGGGTTCAGATCGCGCTATATGTGGAGAATAATGCACGGCAATCAGCTCTTTTTTTTTTAAAGTGGCGTTTATCGGTTTTTGCAGATGAACTCTTCATATATGTTTATTATAAATAAATAAATAAAGTCATATGATCTGTGACTCTAATTTGCTTATTTAACCTGGAAATAACTCAGAATGTGATGTTACTTTTTTATGTATTTACACAGGTTTAAATAAAACAAACTTTAATACGTGATCTCAGACTTTTTGATCTGACTGTATGTCTCACTGTGTGTTTTACTGTAAATTGTGCAATGGCACTACTTTTCTAACAAACTAGAAGTTCTGATTACGCATTACAGATCAATCATGCACAAAATAACAATGAAGTTAAATGTTTCTGTTTGTTCAGATTTATATTCGTTTTTTCATGAATGTAATAGTTTTACTTTTAATGGTTTGGACTATGCCATTGTGTAAAAGTGCCAATCGCTGATTACTATCAGACAGATATGAAGAATTTATAGAGCATTTTTGTCACTGAAATGAGAATATATTTTCCCTGAACTGTAAAATAATTAGGGTAGATTAGATATGTAAATACATGCATACGATTTCCTGATATTGTTCTAGTTTACATTAATAAAACAGTATCACTAAGTGATGTTGTTGTTGTTTTTGCTGTACATAGAGCAAATAAAACCCTTCTCTTAACATTTTATTTGTGATTTTCTATGCATGTGCTTGTTTTAAATTTATATATTATATCTTCTGAATGCGTGTGTAATATGAAACAACTGTTTACAGGTAAAGTAACTTTTTAATATTTTTTGTATAAATTACTATAATTCGTTCTCAAGTGGATTTGTAAGTAATAATAATAATAATCAAGTGGTGTTCTGTATGTAAAGCACATGCGGTTTGAACGCAGCTGTTTCCGGTGAGTGAGGAACTTGAAGTTTTAGCGCCAGAATTTAATGTCCCGCCTGCTTCTCTGTTAACAGACTGTAACTGTACCGAGTGTTATTGTACATTTCTGCAATATTGCATGAAGATAAAATGTCTCCCACAGCCAAAAGAGCCTGTCCCAGTCCTCTGAACGACAGCCTGGAGAAAAGACTGAAACGCATCTCCATTGAAGGCAACATTGGTAAGACATTCATTGTTTTTTTTTGTCAGTACTGTAAGCATATTTCATTGCTGGACATAGCCATTGAATGCCACAAATCCAGTTTTTATAAGGGTAAAATAACCTTTCATAGTGAGTTCTGACTGTGCGATTAATGTTCTGACGTTTGTGAAGAAAATAAATATTTATTAACATAACGTAACTTATAGGCTGTTTTGAGACGACTTGGACCTTTACGAACATTTACTGTTATGAATGCGTGATTTTTATTACGTTTTTTTGCAAATATTCGTTTTTATGCGTGTTCTGACTATTGAAAACGTGCATTTTGCTTTTAAAATAAAAAAAAATCGTGTTAGAATATAGCGGAAGTTGGTTTGTGAATATTCGTAAGACATCTCATATCCGGCCAAACAGCGTTTTCCTGCACTTTTTTTTAGAGGTTATTTGACTGTTGTGGAAGAAATTTCTATCGTTTGTTCTTGTATTATTTCTGAACGTGTTTAGATATGATTTTTATCTTATATTTTCCTGTTCTAGCTGCGGGTAAATCCACTTTTGTTCGCCTGCTGGAGGAATATGATCGAGAATGGGAGGTAGTACCGGAACCCATCGCTAGATGGTGCAATGTACAAACTCACCACACCGAGCACGAGGTACAGTCAAAAATACTGTAAACATAACCAGTATACACATTTTATATTGTAATATAAAATATAATCCTTTAAGCCTGCCCTGCATATGCATATGTGTTATTAGAGAACAAAATGTCAAACCAAGTGGCATTTATTTTAAAGAAAGTTAGCACAAACACACTTTTCAAGTAAATAATAGTTTCCGTTAAAAGTAATTCCCAGAATGGCTCATTTCTGAGTGCAGATGGCACTTGGTTTGATGTTTTTTTTTTCTGCATTGACATTCAGAAACAAGTATCAATATTTTTGTGGTCACTGTACGTTACATGTTTACTGTATTGTCTGAGTATGATAAGCAGGCCTGTAATCCAGCGCTGGCTCTGGCAAACACTCTCGTCCCCCTGGGAATTAGCAGATGGTTTAGTCCTGAACAGCTGAGCACTCAACCAGAACAGAGCTGCTGCTTCACACACTTACTACTGAGAAATACTGTATAGTGTTAGATCAATTAAACCTTAATTGGAGTTCGTGTTTCCTGCGGGAGAGGCCTTGTCTCTCTTTTAAATGTGTCAAGAGGCTGGTCTTTATATCCGTGACTCACAGTGGACATGAATGGCATTTGACCCACTGCTGAAGTGTCAATTAAACCTATATTAGCACGTTCGTTTTCTAAATGTCACTGTCCTCTTGCTTTCTGTGAAGCAGACTAATCACACTTTAAAAGATGAATATAATATCTATTTCTGTTACGTGTCTTTATATTAAGAGTTTATCAGTCCTTGCTAGGGATGTAATGATTCACTCAACTCACGATTTGGTTCGATTCACGATTTTGATTTCACGATTCGATTCACAATTTTTTTTTTACAAAATGAGATTTAAGACAAATTATAAACGAAATGTGTCCTTTTATTATTGCTTGGACAAAATGCTGCACGTTTCTTTGTGAAATTGAAATATAACACTATAATAATATACTAATATAGCACTTGTAAATTATTGCTCTTTTGTTGGTTTTGATTGCTTCTATTGTCCTCGTTTGTAAGTTGCTTTGGATAAAAGCGTCTGCTAAATGACAAAATGTAAATGTAATGTAAATAACAAAACTAAATTTAAATTTTAAAACAAACCCCAAATTAAATAAATGAATAACACAAATAAAAGAAATCTCTTCATATAAACAAAATAAGGCTTTGTCTGTGCTCTTTACATTTAAAATTAGAGGCAACCACTGCATTTTAGTCATGATCCAAACAAAGATGCTGCATACATTCAACGTGAGCAGTTTTTAATCTAAATTATATTGTATAATTTCGAATTTTGAAGCAAAAACAGAATGGTTTGACTTCAGTTTTGTGAAACTATACATAAAAAATATCTGCATGAAACCGAAACAGCAGACGAGCTGAATGAGACGCAGATTCACTCTCTGCCAGCAGGTGGCGCTTAAAGCGTTTCCTTGGTTTCCGCTGTAAACAAAGCAGCGAACTTTAATATGCATTATACAGAGGCAAGATGAAAAGAAAAAATACCATCTAAACTTTTCTAAAGACAGTAAGTTCCCCTCAGACATACATTCATATAAACTCCTACCCCTAATTGAATCGCGATTTGTTTAGCATCTCAACCGATTTGAATCGTCAGATATTTGACTCGATTTTCAACCGGCTCGCAGTTAATCGTTACATCCCTAGTCCTTGCATGATGCAAACTATTGCGTCAGTGTTGTTTTAGTATTTTTGAGATGCTATTATCATTTTTGTTAATATTTTGAATTATATTTTTATTTTTTCCATTTACATTTTTTTAATTTTAATTTTTTTATTAAAATGTCTATATAGTTTTTAATAATTTTTATGTTAGTTTTAGTACATCAGGTTAAACTAAGTGAAAATGAGAAATGTTGCTTTGGCAACTAGCATGAAATAAAAAAAGTTTTTATTTTTAATATATATTTTTACAATTTTATTTCAAGTAACCAATTTTTAATGGTTTTAGTATAACTATAATAACGCTGTATTGCATTTAAAATAAGATAAAAAATTGGGGTGTGTAATTTAATTGTACCATGTTGATCAGTATTGGATATTTAATCTTTAAAAACACTAATAATTTAATAATATATAATATTATATAATGTATGTATACGAAACATTAATAATTAGAATATAAAATAAACAGAAAATATATCAATATTTTTATATATTTATCAGCCATATCATCAATATTGGATATTTAATCTTTAACAATATTAATAATTTAATAATGACAGTAATGAATAATGCAATTTTCCAAATGTGCATTACAATATTGTGATGCCTAAATTCATGTGTAACATTTAAGCCAGTTCATATATTTTTCTCAATTATTTTTAGCATTTCTAGACAACATAGTACTGAATTTTAGTTTTGATTTTTTTTATCTATCTATCTATCTATTTATCTATCTATCTATCTATCTATCTATCTATCTATCTATCTATTTTAGTGCTGTCAAGTGATTAATCGCATCCAAAATAAAAGTTTTTGTTTACGTAATATATGTGTGTGTACTGTGTATATTTATTATGT